TGCAAAATGCAGATGCATTAGTGAACAAAAGACAATTATTCATCAGTATTAGACATTTTTCAAGGAGCTCCTCCTTTGGGGAATGAGCCCAAATGGAAGCTGGCTAGATTTAAAAAAAGATCTGTAATTCTTATGAATCTTATTCATTATTAACAAAGCATTTCATAATACTGATGAGAATGTCAGAATTCAAATGCTTTAGCTGTAAGATCACAAAAATATTTAACCTGAGTTAAATTTATCTTGATGTGCCTTTTGAGCTGCTCTTTGTTCCCTTCTCCAAGCAGTTAAACTTGCAAACAAATCTATCTTGTTTTATTGTCAGCAGCATCTATTCTGCTTAGCACGCACTCTAGACGAATTTATTAACAAACCTATTTTTAACCCACAAACACATAAATCTGTAGAAAGCAGCAACTTGATAAAAGCCCAGGAGTCAGAGGAAAAAACAGCAAAAAAAAAAAAGAACTTGAAAAAAAGCTATATGCCAGGGACCTCCAGGAGGGAATGGGGGTCCTTTACATGTCGTTCTTCATTGTAAAAATCCACAAAATCTAAGTGAAGGCAACTGGTCCACATGGTATTAGACCTATCTACATCACTGCGGCAGCAGCGCAAGAGGATTTATGCAGCTCACTGGTTTCCCTTTAAGCTGCTTTAACATCATACCTATTTCCCTGCTCAAGATGATCCCCCTAACAGTTAAGCGGGGAACACAGTGTAGATCATCACAGGACCCTACATGAAGAAAAAGCATGGCCCCATTTCATATCGGAATAAATTACAGCACTTTTACAGGAAGATTCAACACAGAAAACAGCCGTTCTTTTAATACCCCTGGGAGACTGCTGCTAAATGACATAAAATGCTGCTTGAACATCACAAGCACATGGGGAAGCTTTACATACCAGCAAGAAACGTTTTCTGTTTTATTTTGCAGGCTTGCTAAGATTGCTGGAGATTTTCTTACATTCTCCTGCATTCAAGCAGCAAAACTTTACAGTCCACTTCTGCGGGGACGTGAAGTGCAAAGTTTCCCCGTAGCAGCACGTGATTCTTTGACCAGTTTTCTTTTCAGTAGCAGATTTTGAACATTAACAGTTGGCTGCTTTTACATAGTGAGAGCCAAAAAATCCTGGAAGCTATTCAGAGGTTAAAGTCAGGTCAGCATTTTCACCAGCCATTCTGTTTTACACAAAAAGGATTTAGTGGCTTCCAGGAGAAAGGGCTGACTCGCTCCTATCTCTCCTCTTGGCTCACCTCCTCTCTCCTCCTCCCCCTTCCCCATTGCTTTTCTTTTACAAATAAGAGTGTCTGAATTTGAAGATCTGGACCTTGTAACATTTTTTGTTACCCTTTCAACGTACGTAGACTGAACTTCCCTTTACTGTAGAGGATCTAAAATTTCAAAATAAGTCTGTTCTAACCTAAGTGATGCATTTATTAAAGTCATCAGTAACCATGAAATAGTCCCTGTGCTGTGCAGATTAGAGATACGACACGCTTGCTCTCTAATAATTGAAATTATATAAGAGGTGACATGCAAATGGACAGGAATAACTCCAAGAGGACAAGTCATCAGAGAAAACCTGACTGGTTAAAATTTGGGCTTTACATACAGATTAGAACACCAAAATGCCCATCTTAGTGGACAGTTATGCTCTTAATGCAGTTAATTCGGAGTCTAAAGAGCCACACTCTGATTTAACTTTGGCAACGCTGTGTCTAGCAATACAGATATGTAAAATCAGCTTAACGTGCAAAAAAACCATTTTATGCTAAGCAAAATCACATAGAGAGAAGCAATTATGCATAATGGTGTAAGGACTGACTTCCAACCTCAATTAACTGTTTTCTGTTCTTTACTAATTCTCATATATCTTACAAATAGCACGTTAACTTTCTGGGACACAGGTTAAAGCCTCTGTGTTTTTAAAATATGACATTCGGTGGCGATTCACGATCACGAGATTTGGAGGTGATGCTCATTGCAGCTCAGGACTGATAGGTGGCAAAGATCAAGAGATCTTCCTAAAACCATAACGTTTATCAAGATGAATAAGAAATATATTGGACAGCCTATTCTAAAATTACACCTTCTTGGAGCTAATGAGCTAATACTTTAAATCACTTACTTGGGGAGGAGCAGGAGGGACCATGACTCAGGAAACATAAAATACCTAGGGAAATGTTTACTCTTTTTCTACACATAAAAATGGCACAAAAACGTAAGTAGTTTTGACAAGAAAATCTCTGACACATTTACACTTTTGAGGTACCACGTGAAGCTGCTCAGACCAAAAGCCACGTCATTACAGTCATCCTTGCAGAGAACAAACACAAGCAAGGGATATGCATACAAGAAGATCTGTATCCAATAATCGAGGAATGCAACCAAAAGGGAAACCTGATCCCTGACCCTCCAGAAACAAAGGAGCTGATGTGTTCCTTAAGGGGAGAGCAAAGCACGAGGTGGGCTTTGCTTCCTACACGTGGACAATTTGTCTGCTCCGTTCTGTAGTGAAAATAATTCTAGCGAATTGCTGTCATGCAGAGAGCACCTTTCAAAACTGTTGCACACCCAATTCCCATCCCAACGGGAGGGTAATGACCAAACTGTGCATCCATCTCTGTGGGCAAACATCCCCCCCGCTTGAACTGACCTTACACTTGCAGAAGATGTATAGAAAAAGACTTAGAAGAAAACCTCCCAATTTTTTTCGCTGCTGGAAAGTATGACTGGAGAAGACCGTTTTCCCCACAATTTGTTACAGCTGTTCAGCTTCTATCAAATGCCAGAATAAGGTGGTGTTGAAAATGTTATTGTCAAAAATAAAGGGGGGGAGGAAATAAGGGGAGAAAGAGGCTCTTGTTTTCCTTTGAGTGTGAACACTAGCAGAGGAAAGGCTTGCTTTTTGAAAGCCTTGGAAAGTGCTTCCCCTACTCCACACGAACATATTTTTACACAACTTTTCCATCTGGCATACATTAACATAGCCTTGGGATAAGCCACCTTCTATTATTTCCAAAGTTTCCATGGGAAAATCTAAATTCCTGACAGAAGAACCTCTAAGGAGGAATATTCCTTGTGAGGGGCAAAAAAACCTGTTTCAGACTTAAAAATTAATTACTATAGACCTAGTGAAAAAAGGATAGGGTATAAAATCTGAGCAAAAAGATTCAACACCTTATCACGTCAGGAATCGGGATCACGCTGATGCTTCTCTGACACACAGGTGTACCACAAAGGCCACCCAGATCTCCTCTGGCTTTCAGGTGGATAAGAAACTCCAGATGAAACCAAACTGCAGGAACTTACAATTTCGTCACCTTCAGATGGTCACCTGCCAACGAACCACGAGGACCAGACGAGCCCAACACGATAGCGCAGCACGCACCGACAGATGTCATTAGTAAGAGCAGCTCATAAAAGCAGAGAACACACTTTTTTACCTATTCTCCTGCTCCACTTCAGGCTTCGATCAAGTCTTAGACCCGATTCACAGCTCTGCCAGAGGCAAGACCCAGCTGGAATCAAGCGTCCACTTTTACTCACCATGATCCTCCAGCCCAGCCAGGCTTCAAGGGGCTGCTGTTGGACAGGGTGAAGCTCTGATCGTGGGACAGTGTGAGCAGAGAACGAAGGGTGTGTCATACTGCAATGACTTTTCCCAGAATTTATTAACCTACTTTGGTATGCAGCTCAGAATAGCTTACGTATTTGCATTTTAAGATCATGCAGGCAGAAGTGCTACAGAGGTTGCTGTGGCATACAGGAGCAGAACTAAGCCCAGATTTCCTGATCAGCCAAGCAAAATATTAATCACTAGTACAACTAACCTGCCTAAATTATCAAGCCTTTTTTTTTTTTCTTTTTTTTAAAGCACTACATACACTGTTGGCAAAGTAAAATCTTCTTAGCTGGAGAAATACTCAACATAAAACACAGTGCAAGGACAACCAAGTGAGGACCATCCTGCCTGATGTTACATAGACATTACTTTTCTCCCATTGTGCCTTTACAGTTATCGTAAAGAAATTAATCTGTGTATGTTATTTTTCTCAAGATCCTTTACACTTGCAACCTACAGATCACTCAAATGAAAAACCTGCTACAGCGGCTACTGAAATTCACTGGAATTTGTGTTAATTCAATCTGTTTCCTGCCCAAGGCTGAGCTTAAGAGAAGCAGTCATTTTTGAGGCAGAGTCACCGATAAGGTGGCAGTGACAGTCACGGGGCACAGAAGGTAATCAGTCTCTTATATTTATAATAATAGAATCCCACAGTATTTGAAATATGAACGGGATGCCGTCATCCATTTTCTTTCCTCTGACATCAAAGAACAGTGGCTATGGACTAAATGGCATTAAGGGAAGGAAAATGCTGAAAAAATAGATGCCTCTATACTTGAGGTAATAGGAGGGGATGGCAGCCCCGAATAACAGCCATTGCCTGGCACCGAGACCATCCCATCTTCCTTATTGGACCAAAAAGCGTGTGGCGCTCTAAATTAACATCTCCACATTCATAAATGGGCATGGACAGCAGCTGAAGGAGAGGATATAGAACAAAAGAAAAACTTGGTAGGAAAAAACCCAACCAGCTCACTAGAATTAAAGGAGGCAAAAATGTGTTGGGAAGAAAGATTGCAAGAAGCAAAAAGGTGAAGATGGGATGCAAAAATAGAAGAAGGGAGATAAAATTCTTCCTCTTTCGCCATTTAAACAAGTTCCAAAACTTTGCATCAATTAATGTACTTATCAACCTCATCCGTCCCAAGTTTCACCAACTTTATGTAGTTGCACCCATGACGAATGGAAGACGGAGGGGGTACGCTTCACCGTGGTCACTGCAGTATTAACTCGAATAACGCAAAACCGTGCCATTAATGAGCGAAGGCGGGTGTATTATCTAAAATAACTCTTGTTAAGCCAACGCAGTCGACGACTGCGATGGCTCAGCGGTAGAGCGCGAAGGAGAAGGGTGCCGGCACTCACCGATGATGCCGCTGTCTCTGCTCTCCAGCGTGGAGGTAGGGCTGGTGACGGCGCCGTAGGTGCAGTCCTTGGCGGTGACGCTGGTGCTGACGGGCGGCAAGGTGGAGCAGGGGCTGCTGGCGGGCGGCGAGGCCGTGCTGCTGGTCAGCGTGGAGCAGGGGCTGATGCGCTGCGTCACCGCCGAGCTCTGAAAAACGGCAACCGGGAACACATCACTCACCGCGGGCGGTCACCGAGGGGTGGGGGGGGAAGTCTTTCTGTAGCTCCCGCTTGAGGATTTGCGTTGGACGGTGAAGGTGAAAAGTGCTTTACTGGTCAAAATGAGAACGTCCGCCGTGCCACCCCACATCTGCGGAAAATGCGGAGGCAGCGGGCTTGCTTTCTACTTCACGCCTTAGAGATTACAGCTTCCACGTTCAATAGGAAACACAGGAAACATAAATAAAGTGGTATTTACCAAAAGCCTGATTCCATACTTTATCAGGAATTTTGATCGTTTTGTTAGTATTGAACCGAAAGTTAAAAAAAAAAAAAAAAGGCACAAATAAGCAAGGATTATGATACAGTGAGGTAAATTCTGTGCCTCTGTTTAAGTGGAGATCTCCAGGGTGGTAAGTATACAGCATGATCTCACCTTTACTTACAGCAAGAAACATCACATACAGGAAATCCTACAAAGACCTCTGGGCCATTTCCGTCTGCTCAGAAACCTCCATGGGGCTGCAATTTTTATTTTGGTCTGTAAATGTTTCCTCCATTCAAGAAAAACAACAGTGGTTCTACACCCTTGCAAAGAGGAAGCTCGAAATCCCTTATCTAGATACGAGACAGCCCTTCCCTGCCCAGACATGCTTTCCCCACTAGATAAAGTTAAAAAATAAAAAAGTAATAGGGAAAATGTTGCTCTCTGAAGGCAAAATAAAACAAAAAAATACAGCAGCAAAAAAAGATGGTGTTTCAAAAGTTATTCTGGAAACCCCCTATAAGATATTGTGTGCAAGCAACCTGCCAGAGTTGATACATCTGAAGCTGTGCACGGAGATTAGTTTATTAAGAAAACAAAATCATTTTTGAATTCAATTTGAGACAAGCTGCGATACAAGACAGAGCCCTTGTTTCAACCACAGGCTACTGGATACACAACCTTCCCTGGCAAAAGGTCCTCCTCTCTGGAGATACGTCCTAGAGCATCTGCAGCCCACAAAAACTGCTGTGCAGAGTCACCGGAGGACAGCAAGGGCAGGAGATGGCTCACCGACCGCACCACTGGGAAGACGCTTTTATTGACCCAACACAGCCACTTAATCACCCTTCCACTGGACTTCAGAGCAATCATTGAGAAATAACTTGAAAATGGGCTACTTCAATCCTTCCCCTCCACAAACCTGACCCCATGCCCCAGACCAGGCGTCCGATTCACAGTGTGGGTGTCGGAGGAGCAGGCACCCTCACCGTGGGTCAGGCCAGCAGTCCATCTCCCCTCGCGTAGATGAGGATGCAGAAAGTAAGCATTAAAAAAAAAAAGGGCTTTTGAGCAGGTGATTCTCCCTTAAATTTATCTTTCTGCCTCTGCAGAGGGGAGGTGACTCCATCTCCCCCTTGCTCAGGGGACACTGCAGAACACCACGGTCATCTCTCTCTTGCACTGCTGCCGTTTTCTGTAGCTAACTCCTGCGGACCGTATTTTGTTTGTCATTGCAAAATTATACTGGTCCCAAGGAAAGCAGAGGTTAATTCCCCATTTGGAATTCATTTAAATGAGATTTCTTTTATTCTGTGTGCATACTTCCCTAATAATTGCATGGATTTATATTCCCTTTTCCATGTCATTTGAACCCAAGGTAACCATGGAGAGCATCATGCTTACAAACTGCAAAACAGGTTTGACATCTAATTTTTTTTCTTCCTCACTATTTCATACTTGAAGCTGAAAAAACGCCTGGGACAGACTATTGTAAGTAGAACATGTGGAAGATTTACTGGTTTTTAAATTAGAAGGCAGATACCACGTGTAGCTACCAGGAAGCGATCTAATTTGTCCAAGGTATCCCAATGGGGCTTGTAAAAATCCTTACTCAGAATGTAACCACCCTGGTGTCTGAGGCGAAAGAGAGCATCCCCGCAGCAGTGGGACGGGGCAGTGCCGAGGCCGGCATCCCCCTCCACCGCCCCACGCCTTTGCTTTCACGCCATCATGACTGCATCGATCTTAACTTAATTACAGAGTACCCTGAACGTGGATTAGCACATCAACAAACCAGGGACAGAGTGCTAATGCGACAGCTCCACGGGCATGTTTTTTATATTAAACAGAGAGATTGCAACACAGCAGAAAATGAACTGTGTGAATATTTCCATGATAATTTATAATCTCCCTCCGGTATCCATATAAAATATCCACCAGTGAATGAGACGACTGCCACCACATCCTTGTCTTTTGAAGCACTCAGGAGAAGCAAACCAACGCTTTCCTCTCCCCATCCAATTTGTGGTGCCACTAGCGGATCACTGCTATTGTTATTTTCCATTCTTTTATGTTCTAGGTACTTACAAATACTTCTCTTTTTTTTCCCCAGTAGCCTTCTAGGAATTGCAGGCAAGTTGACTGCTCTATAAATTCTGGCTCCCCGTATATTCTGGTTTCACACATTTGTTACATCACCTCTCATGCGGCTTCTCTCTCAAAGAACCTTTTTCATCTTCTCATACTGCAATGTTTTCAGATGTCCAAATACTGTACTGATTTTTGTAAATGTTTTTAATTTTGCAAAATTATTTCTAACTCATTAATTCTAGTGGCCAAATTAAAAACTATTTGTGTGCCAGTATTCAATGAAAATATTCCATTATTTTTTCCTCTTAAAATTGCTGGGGTTTATTATTATTACTCTTAACATAACCTAACACAGGGCTCTTTTTGCATTGCTGCTATATATCAAGCAGATGTTTTCACTGAGCCACCCACTACAGTGGGGCTCTCTTCTGATTTATCACAGACTCCATCAGTACACCTGAGCTGTTAAATTGGCTTTTTCCAATATTCATTTTCTTAAACCCACTGACAGTACAACGAACTGCACCAAGTTTAAGGTAATATAACTTTTGAGGTTTGGACAAAGAAGGCCAAGGGCATCCTGGGCTGCATTAGGAAGAGCGATGCCAGCGGGTGAAGGAGGTGATGCTTCTCCTCTGCTAAGCTCTGGTGGGAGCACACCTGGAGCACAGACGAGGACACTGGAGGGAGTCCAGCTAAGGACCACGGAGATGACTGAAGGACTGGAGCATCTGACATAGGAGATACGGAGATATTCAAAACCCAACCGGAGATGGTCCTGGGCAACCTGCTCTGAGCTGACCCTGCTTCGAGCAGGCGGGTTAGATTAAACAATCTCCAGAGATGCCTTCCAACCTCATACTGCAGCATCTAAAAATTTAATCAGCTCACATGTGGGATCTTTCAGAATGCAAAGCATTATTACTATTATAAATTCTTTACGGTGAGGTTTTTCTAGGTCCTTGTTTCAACTGTTATTTTAAACAAATCCCTGCTGAAATCTCAGTACTAACAAAATAACATCCACTAACCTTAAAACACACAAAAAAATTACACTTTAAAGCAAATTAAAATTCAGTGCAAGAATCATACACTCATCTTCCTTCCAGCTGATAACACTATTGTTTCATAAAATGCCAAAAGTGATATTCTTGTAAGTTCTTTTATTTGTAGTGTTATCAATGCAGCTCCTTAAGAACAAGCTACTTGCAACTGGAAATTACTAAATAACATGGTATATCACTTGGCATTGATTGACATGTTTTATTTTTGTATTGATATAGAAAAATGTTCCTCCGTGCAAGTTTTAAATATAAATTTCCATTAACAGAACATTCTGTATTATTATTGCTGCTGTTTCATCTGTCACATTTTCACTAAGCTTTGAAAAATTACACTGTTCTGTCATAGTCTCATTGTCCTTTGTGCTTCTCTGGCAGCCAGTGCAGTTAAAAAATAGTTTCCCAAAAAGTAGGAGAAAGAGGATTTATTCTTCAGCGTTTGTGATGTCTCATTAAGGAAACCATGATTAAGAAAGAGACAGCACATAAAACATGCAATTTCATAGCAATCTGGATTAGAGAATACATCCTTTGACATATTCAAAATAAGGCAATTGAATGAAAATGCAGTGTGCCGATTTACAGATTGGGGCAGTTTTAGTGAAAACACCTCTATGCCTTATCTTCACTTTAGCTCAAGCATTGGCGAGATTGCAAATAATTATTTTCTCGCTTGAGAAGGCAAAGCATGGTTAGAATAACAAGCAGCAGCCTAGTCCCAGCTTTTGATACAAAGAACGTTTTCTTTGCCCAGGCCGTGTAAATTAACGCATTAAAACCTAGAAAATCGTTCTCATTTTTAAATTCAAGTGCAAACTAGTAGTCAAAGTCTCAATCAGATTTTAATTAATCAATGATTAATGGAAGAATTAATCTTTGCAAATCCCACAAATGTCTCTCTGCATGATTTTCAACACTACTTTAAGTAGGATAGCTGAAGAAATTCAATTTGGGAAGGAGAGTTAGAGAGGTTTTTAGAAGATTTCCTGCAATTCAGAAGCAACTTTAGCTTGGACAGGATTTGTGCATGGCTCCGGTCCTGAGACAGCCAGATAGCAAAAGTCAGAGAAGGGCACGAAGACTGTTAGATGGCTGGAGCTTATGATGTGGAAGGAGAAGCTGACGGAGAGGGTTCCTTCAGCCTGGAGAAGAGACAGCTAAACTGCACCTCGGGATAGCTGCAGCCTTCCGCTGTCTGCAGGGGATTGTAGAGAAGACACAACCGTGCTCTTCTCAAAAGTGCAAAGGGAAAGGCCAAGACACTACAGTCACAGGTTGTATCAAGGAAATTTTCTGTCAGGTAAAAGAAAGAAGTCCCTCACTACGGGAGTTGTGAAGCCCCGAACAGGCTGCCCAGAGAGACTGTTGATTCTCCATCCGTGGAGATCTTCAAAACTCGCCTGGACGAGCCCTGAGCAACATGGTCCAACTTTGAAGCTAGCCCCGCTAGATGAGATGACCTCCAGAGGTCATTGCCAACCTCGAGTATGCTGCAATTCTAGGCAAGTGCTGACAGCAGGAGATGCTCACAAAGAAAGAAAAAAAAATTAACTTGGTAATTGAGGAATCAGCCTCTCTTTATCTTCACCAGCACATGAATAGCATTCAAAGGCCCCGTCAAACTTTTTAATGCAAAAATTAGCACACAGCCCAAGATATCAATCTATTTTAGAGGACAACTCTCTGCTGCTTCTCTTTAGATTTTTCTTTTATTTATTCTCCAAAGACATCTTCTGCTTTAGAGAAAAGACGGGATTTTAATTTTTGTCAAAAGGCAACAACAAAAGGAACCATTTATAGTAGAAAGCTCTGCTTGGCTTTGAAGTATTCAATTCAAATAGGTGCCTGTTAAAAGTACATTTTCTAGCACAATGTATAGTAAAGTACGTTTCAAATCCACCACAACTTGCATAAAATATTGAATGAAAGCGTTAAAAGCTTAATGAATGTGTTAAAGGCAAAAACTTTACAAAAACACATTGCCTGGCTCTCAAGCATATTTTAGCCCATGCAGATGATAAAAAAACCTTTTGGTTCAGTCTACAGTGCGGGACTGATAGAGCCCGGGACGCTGCCCTCCTCCCTGCTCTCCCTGCTTTGGGCTAGGAGGGGTCCTGGGCTTCGTGGAGCAACTTGTCTCCGAGTTTCCTTCCAAGTGGAACAGGTTGGGAGAAAGATTCACATATGCCACCGGGGCCACGATGGGCATTCAGCTCGAATGTACAGAAACCATCTTCTTGGCTGCCAGTTTTCATTGACTTTTTTTTTTTTTTTAAGAAATTCAGGACCTTAAGTCAGGTCCTCTGAATAGTGCCTATGTTAAATATCTAAGTGACTTCTGGAGAGTCATGCAACGACCTTGTTAAAAGGAGAGAGAATTAGAACTGGGCTTCCGAGTTTCATGCTCTTCTGCTACTTACTGGACTATCCGTCTGCCCATTAAAAAAAAAACCAACAAAACTGTTTCCTAGTTTCATTCTCATCTCACCAACACTGCTGGGAGTGGGTGTATTGTCCAGGCTTGAGGAGGAGGAAGAAACTCAGGCAGTTTCCACAAAACCTACATTGTAGCCCTGAGCTTTTTGCTATTTTGCTTTTCAGCCAGCCAGAGGGGATGTAACAAACTCCATCACGATGAAGATTCTATGATTTGCTTTCTGTACCTGTTTTCAAGCATGAAATCACCTTGTTCAGCAAACGTGAGCAAAAACTGTGACTATCTGTAAAATCAGGTTATTACTACTTACCTCTCCTTCCTGGAGAAACTGTGAGCCTTTATGTAACATTGCTAAAGTACCTTTGAAATATGGCATGTAAGATGCCATGGAAGTACAGATTATTTTGGTCACTATAATCTGATTAGAAATGCTACCCACTCCTACAACATTTGCAAAAACAGAAAAACAACAGAAGCCGTTTCACATGGTAGCAGCTGATCCCCGAAACACGTACTGCTGCACTGTAATGATGATTCACCATTTAACGAGGAGATACAACCTTTTACCTCATAACAATTATTTCACCATTATGAGACACTCAGCTGCCATATAATTAGAAAATAACCACTCTCTCACATGCTGTATTTGGATCCTAACCCGTGCAGTTACTGCTGTACAAGCGGGAAGGACTGGAGGGGTCGTACCTGGTTCTCATCCTGCACCTCCATGCTGTACTGGGGCCCTGGCTGTACCTCCGTGACTTTCTCTCCGAGGAGGAAGCCCAGGCGAGTCATGAGTGTATTTGCTGCCTCATCTACGGATGGAGGGGGTCCCAGCTCCTGCTCAGTATCACCTAAACAGGAAGAAAAACAGATTCAGACAGGAATTGTTTACCTTGGATACTGCTCAGTGTTTTTCCAGCAAAACACCGCTAACTTCTCATGCTGCAACGTCAGTATCCGGGTTTTCAGGTTATTCACGTTAGTCAGGTCTGTTTTAACATTATATGCTGGTCATTAATTTTAAGTTATGCATTGCTCCAGCTGTCAATACATGTTTCTTCTAACGTTAGCTGTTATTTCTCCTCTCGTTGCTCATTATATTCTCAGCACCTCCCATGGAAGCAAACACAGCCACCTTGCTTTCCCCGCACCAGAAGTACCAAAGCCAACGGGGAACGAGATTTCCTGGACCAGCGATGGAGAAGGGGGAGCCTTCTCTCTCCTCTCTCACGTAGAAACTACCTCCAAGCGACTCACAGAGAAACCAAGGCTACACTTGCCATTTTGAAAGCACTCCACGAGATGTAGAGCAGCCAACCTGCGTTCCCAAGTGTTAAGGGCAAAGAACAGGACAGAAAACCCGCGTGCGTCTTCCGCTGTCATCTGCTGTTTCCGACACGCTCACGGTTACGTCGAAAGCACTGCTCTCCAGACACCAAACCTCCTTCTGCGGTCACAGTATAGGCCACGATACAAAGCAACGTCCACCTGCCAATTCCCGCCAAGCCTATAAAATAGGCCAAAACCAACACTCCAGATAATTTTTCCTGATTTTTTTTCTGCCACCTCCAGGAAGAGCAGCACGGACAAGCTTCTGGCTAGCAATGCACACTGGGAAAAAGGCCAGGCACGTATATTAGCATTTCTGTATCTTTTTAATTTTACAACAAAAATTTGTGGAGGTTTTTGACTTGTAGTATCACAAAGGTAAGTTGGGTTCTGAAAGTTAAGTTCTCTCTTGCTCACACAAGCAGCAGTATTAAAGCTTGAAGGTCAAGTTCTTTCCACATTACACTGAAGCAATACTGTGTTTAGTGCAGTTGTAGGAGACTAATTAGGATCTGCAATTAGTCTACAGTTAATTATTCATCTGATAATGTACAATTTGGAGAAGAGCCCATCTCCATTTCCCAGCTCCATCCTGGCTCAAGGGTGCACCAGCACTCAGCCTGAAGCTACAGTAAAAAGATGTTACTTTAAATATTACTTTTTGATAAGTGTAACTGAAAACCACAAATCAGAGAACCTGGGATATGTACGAGACCTCAAAAAATTTAAGCCAGCTGCTTCCAGAAATTCCCATTTAATGTACATCTCACAGAAGCTTAGAGCAATTTTTCGGTGTCTCACCTGCACTACTGCAAATTAAAAACCCTGGAGCATCTCACATGCAACCGCGTCTGCATTCATAAGCACCGTCAACTTTGGGAAATGAGTATCTGGAGCAGTCCGCACACGGTGACTTCGCTGTTATGAAAATGGATTATATACTATGATAATAGAAGCTGTCTTTGAGTTATTGAATCCCTATTGTACTGCTTTAAACAACACTGACGTGAATGGGATAGATTTAAAGAGAGAGACAAATTTAGATGGATGGCCCAATTTTCTGAACTGCTGACCACCCACATTCAATCTGTGGGCATTTACTATCTCTGGGAGTCAAATCCAGAAGAGATACATTTACGTAAAATGAAAATTAGAGAGACTTATTTCCAAGGTTATTTTTTTCTTTAAAAAAGCAGACTTTTAGAATTTATCCTAGATACCTGTATCTAGGATATGGCTCCGTTCATAATTATTAGAAGTTTATTATGCATTCCGCATTCTGTCTTCAGAACGCGTGACATTAATAATACTCTTACACATCTCGGCAGAAAGGCAAAGCTGGATCTCTCTGCATTGCCCACCCAGGGTTGGATTTAGGGAGAGTGCCCAGACTATGCTGGGGCAGGCTGCAGGGCGCTGGGCAGAGCAAGTTTCCTTCGGCTCAGTGTTAAGAACCGCTCCCAAACCGAACTGAACAACTTGCTCCTTGGAGGCTGGATTTAACCTTGTCCTTAGACCTCCCCTCTTTATACTACCCCTAAAATATCTCTAAGGGGCACAAAGCCCTTTTCACCTGTAAAGCAAAGAAAATGACGAGCTTATCCCAGGTCGCTCCTTAACAACATAGAAGATACAGAGGATAATAATTGTCTGCCTCGCTAACAGCCCTAATTCACCTGGTTATGGCACAAGGTATCAACAGCTGTAACTGAAGCAGCTGAGCTCCGAGAGCATCACATTTAGTGTAGAACTATCAATTATTTTGTTATAACATGGCTTACAAAGTACAGATAATTTGAACTTAAGCAAAGCACTACCGTACTGGATTATTCCCTCTTTTGGTTTTAGGTCTTTAAAAATAAGTGCAGTCATTTAATTGAGTGTCAAAGAGACGTAACAGCTCCAAAATGCCTGTGAATGGGTATTACAGAAAGAAGCTGTAACATGCCTTTCAAGGTTGACAGTAAGACCTAATACTCTCTTTCTAAGTTCAGTGAAAGGGCATAACTGGTTTTTTTTCTCCCTTGCCACGTGTGCTATGCAGTTGATGCTGCAGCCAAATTTTACACACACTTCAGCACACTCGGTTCCCCCAGCCTCACCAGTGAAATTTGAGTGCACAGTTGATAACAGAACTGGCCTGAGATATTTTTAGGTATTCTGACACTACTGCTATAACGAACTACAGCAGCTCAAACACACATACTACAGTCAACTCAAATAAGCAACCTCTAGTATATCAATAAACTGTAACAAACTGCCCAGCTAGGCACATGCAAACCTGAAGTCAATCAGCGGACTGGAGAGATCCCAATGCGGTTTGCGGTCTGAAGCTGCCGCACTTGCTAGATCAGCTCATATGCTTCTGCATAAACATTCAGTAATATTAAAAGCCGTATCAAAATGCTCAGTGCCAGGAATTTTAAACAAGAATAAAAAAAAACTTAACTCCCCGACTCATCGCATGTGATGAGTATTTCAAGGAGTTCTAGAGACTGTGTAACTTCATGTTCCTTTATGTTCAGCAGAAAGCTTGTATTTTTATCTATAGGCACATAAAACAAGAGCAGGGAAAGGGTTCTCGCGAGCTGGCGCGCTGCTGGGCTGGGTAGATAAACCACACCTACCCCCCCCCCCCCCCCTCAGGTCTCCTCCTAGTTTCCCAGTGGCCATCAGCCACGTAACTTGTACTCACATGCCAGCTGAGATCTTTAGTTAGCTAGTTCAGTTGTTTATGTCTTGTTTGGTTTTAAGTGAGAGCTTTTTAATGATAAGCTCCGTTGCAGTGACATGGCCATGGAAGGAAGACCAGACCCACCGCGGCGTGACCCAGCCTGTCCGGCACTGATGGGATACCCCAACAGAGCACAGACTCACCTCTCCTATATTCAGCTTTAGCCAGAGATGAAATTACTTCTGATTACATTGTCTTTGCACATACTGTGGCATTTACTGATCCCCACATGATAAATGCGTTTTCTGAATCTTAGAAAAAATGACTTCCAAAGAATTTAATAGAGAAACTTTTCCCCACTTGGAATTTGTTGTGTTTAATTTCAAGGCAAGTGCTCCAAACCTGGAGTCAGCATTTCAGGTACTGAAGTCCGAGTCAAAACCAAAAGAGATTTACTAGATGTTTGCCACTAGTCCAAGGACTTTCTTCACAGATATAGCCCGCAGACTACAAACACATTGCAGTGAATTGCTTACTTCTAATAACATAAATAAAAATCCATGAACAGCTCCAAGAAAGATTAGTCTCAAAAGTTGTAGCCTGGTTGGAAGGAGAGGTAATTTGTCCAAGCAGTACACAGATTTTTTTTTTTTTTTCTGTAAGAAAAATGTAAGCAATGAGCCTTACTTTGCACTGCAAAAACAAATGAACTTGAAAATAAGACATTCAGATTCTTTTGTAGTGAGCTATACAAAAATTAAAGGTATCTTCTAAAAAGTGAAAGAAAAAGAATAATATTCAAAAGCCTGCATGAAATATGCAATCGAATTTTAGGTAGAGTCACCAAAAAGCTATACTAAAGGATACTTCTTTCTTTGAATCCTTAATCTTCAGATGAGACAGGTAACTGCAGCATTATATGACAGAAATAAATAAAAGCTCCTACAGAGATGTGAAACAGGTTGTCCTTTCAGATTAAAATACTACAGGTTTTTAGGCTATCTGGCATTTTTATCTATCAGAGCAGAAGAATGCTGGGAACAGTAAATCAGAGCCTGCAGTCTTAACTCTGCTGCATGCACAGAGCAATCCAGAAGCAGAACAAACAGAAGCAAAAATCAGCAGGGCCAAGAGCTTCCCATTCCCCAGCATGGAGCCACAGGGAAGAAAGGAAATCCCAAACCAGCACCGGCCACTCAGACTTCTGTACCTGTACCCACTGCTCCTTTATGAGAAGTCCAATCTTCACGGTAATGGGAAAAAAAAAAAATAAAAAATCATCCAACATAAATGTGACTTAATTACTCTGAAACTAGAAGACAAAGTAAAAGAAACAAGAAAACGAGAATATGTGATTTCTCCATCTCTAGTCCTTGAGGAGCACGCTATGATTTTTTTTTTTACTTATTTATTTTGCTTCTGGATTGAATTATACTGGAATATATGCCACAAGAGGATTGGATGGACAGGGAGACAAACGGAAGGTTAATTCGATCAGGGGTTTGGAAAGCTAGGAGGTCATTTTGCTAAGGAGAGCTTGTGTTGCCAAAGGCAGGGTGGTCTGTGGGACAGAAAAGCCTGTTGAGGCAGAGGCTGAAGTGCTGGGTTAGGAGATCGATCGATCAATCAATCGACTGGGAGGAGGGAGCGGGGCAGAGCGGGGATTGATCGGCAGCTGAGCAATAAGGTCACCGGGGCTCCGTGGGGGATGAAGGGGAGAGAAGCGGAGGGTGCAGGAGAAGATCGAGCATTTCCCTGCCACAAACCTGCCAGAGAGCTCTTCACCCATTTGATAGCACAAGAACAATTTTCGAACATTACACCTAAGTAATTAGTAATAATAAATAA